TTTACTTTTAGAAATAGTATAATTTTTTAAATAATAGTACAATTTTTCTAAAATAATCTTTATTTAATTGTATTGAATAAATATATATAAAAAAGTTAAATTATTTTCTACAATTAAATTTTCACATTTAAAAGAATGAAAATCTTTTTTCTCTTGTATCTACTGATATCTTTCACTGTATATAATATTAAAAAATATTTTATTGAGTAAAATATTAAAAAATATTTATTCATTCTTCAACTGGTTCAATATAAAAGTTAGCTTGTTCTAGCAAGTATAGCTTTAATATTACATTTAAAAACTTATTATTTATTATTAAAATAATTTAAAAGTAAAATATGTAGTTCAAAAATAATTTTATTTATTTATTTTTTTGAAAGAAAAAATTAATATTTTAATTTTTAATAAATAAATTAGATTAATATTAAAAATAAAAACACGAAAAAACATCAATCAAACATTAGAAATTCAACATAAAATTGATGATATAATTTAATATTTGTTCTATATATAATATTTTTATAAGATAAAATTATTCAATAATCTTTTAATCTTATTCTAATCCGCCATTACAGATAACTCAGCACTAATATAAGCGCAGAGGGTATTTTCGTCATTATGGTGGAAGTCATCAGGTTAACTAAACTTAAGACCAAAAATTTGAAATTTGGGTCGGGATTTTCCGGATCACTTTCTTCAAAACCCATTAGGGTTCATATTTACGCCCCCTCTGAGCAGAGCTCTTCTCTCTACCAGATTCCTGGAAAACGTTCCATCCCTAATTACCTAGAGGTATCTTCCCTCTGTCTCTGTATTTTATGTATTTCGCAGAATATTTGTTTCGTAGTTGTATCCTTTCGGGAACTGAAATGTGTTGTAGTTGACATATTCTGTTTGTTTACCATGGAATTGGAAGGAGTTGGAAGATTCTTTGGGACATTATTTTTTTGAAGAAGGAATTTTAGGTTACAGATACTGGACTATACTGCTTGGTTTTGTTGATTTTGGATCTTTAATTATGTTCTGAACAGGTCATTTTCTTGTTCTTTTACTTCCTCTTCAGCCAATACGCGGACAGCGTTTCTTAGTTTTTTTTTCTTTCTTTTTTCTGTGGCGGCGTTGAGGGAGGGAGTGGGGGGACTTATCGGGATAGTTTTCACGGTGAATTGAGCTATTATTATATGGTTTCCTTCATTGAGTGTTTACTTTGTTGTGAACTAGGTCTCTTGGAAATAGATGATCCTTAATCTTCTGCTTGTGTTAAATTAGTTTTGCATTCTGGTTGAGACAAATTTTAAGTAGAAATTCTTGCTGCTCTGTGCAGACTCGTTTTACTTGGTGAGCATCATAAATGAGCACCACGGTGCATAGAACTCCCAAAACTGGGGGCAAATCGTTGTTTTTCCAAGATTTGGCTTCCCCCATTTCTGCACGGAGAGGTAAATTTTCAAGTCCAGGTCAGGCAGCGGCAGTCTCTGCTCTATGGCGGGAAAATTTTGGTGGTTCAGATCTTCCACCTCCTCCCATGTACACCTTGGAGGACCGCTCAGATTTCTCTCCTGAAACTGGGATTCTTGACTATCCAGTTTCT